CATTTGTGAAGCATCGCAAAACCTTCAGGAATTAGGGTCCGTTCTGAGATTACTACAGAGGCCTGTTTCCTTCTGGTTTCTAATATGAATTTCTTGTGAAAATGTCCAAATAAAACTGAGATTAAAAACTTGCTCACACATTAAGCCTTCATCTGGGGGCATGCGTATGAACCTGAGACGTTTTAATAAAATATGATTAGAAATATAGATATATTTACTTTTGCTTCCAAACCAGACTAAAAATAACCATACGCAGTTGATAACTCTATGTTGTAGATGACACAAATCCATCTGACCTTTGATTTGAACTAAAATGCATTTAATTATTTCCATATTATGTGTTGCAGAGTTGAGAAGTGTGTGATTTTTTTCTGTGTGATCCTGTCTTGATTCTCCTGGATCTTTGCTATTGATTGGTTGAGACATTTTTACATGTTTCATATTACAAGATTTTTTTCGTAACACTTAACTTAAAACAGTCTCCTTGATTAAATATACACACCTTTATAATGCATTCATAAAGTATTTTAAACACTGCTATAACTAATTATAAAATGGCATAACATGTTTTAGCCATGTTTATTATGCATCATGAATACTCTGTGAAGCTCTCATCTATAATATACTTTTGATACCTTCATAATGCCTTATAATCAGAAGTGGAAAGATCAGGTCCAGAAAGTAAAAATCCGGACCAAGTTTTGAGTTGAGAACTCTGTGACTCTTTATACTCAACTGGTTGGTTGCAACAAAATCTTTGTCTGAATTTTTCCTTTCTGGATCTGAATTATCCACCTCTGATTTTATTGGTCAGCATAAGTCACTAAATTGCATTTTGAAGGTATTAATAGTGCATTATAGATGTGAACTTCAGAGAGCATTCATAATGCATAATTAACATGACTATAACGTGATATGCCTTTTTATAAATAGTTATGGCCATGTTTATAATGCTTTATGAATGCATCATTATGCATTATGAAGGTATCTATAATGCATTATATTTGGCTGCTTTAAGTAAATTTTTACAGTTTTTTTTAACTGTTTAGTGCTCAGTTCTTTGTTTTGTTTTCCATCTTGTAATTATAGAACCGGAACAATGGCAGGCATTGCTATGAAATGGTACATGCTGCCTGAATCATGCTGTGTGTATTGAGAAAGCATGGCAATGCTGCGACACTGCACTGACTGGCCTTCAGCATGTAATTTATGCAGCATAATAAGCCACAGGGGCCCTGCTCATAAACACTTATCCAGTGGACACTGCATTAAGAAGCTGCCCCACGTGTTTGCTTTATACAGACCAAATGGGAATTTCTCAAGCCTGGTGGCTGATGTCCCATGATTGCAGAGCATGGTCCTTGACAGAGCTAATCTCCCCGGGTGACAGGGAGCGGGATCAGGGACAGGGAGAGGGATCAGTTTGTATCCAAGCAGGCCTCAAATAGCTCATGCTGCAGTGACTGAAAAAAGAGCATTCTTCACTTGGCCAGAATGAAAGACAAACCGGAGGAGTCATGGGGACGGTGCAGGGGGAGACACTCAAGGGATAAACATGCAAAATTGATAGAGGTGTGCACAAAAATGAAGAGAAGGATTAGAAATAGAAAGAGGGTGATGATCGGGAATCCAGTGAGAGCAAAAAGCTCACTGCATTATGCTGGGCCAGTGCTGGTCTGTGATGTATGGTGGTATGCCTTCTAATGAATTCTTGGAGGGCAGAATTTCACATTTGTAGGCCATGAAGCTTTCAGTGACTTTAAATTATTATTATTATTTTTTTTTTTTTTGGGGGGGGGGGTATGTTTTAGGCAGTTTGATGAAGTAAGGTACATTCCGAAGCATGGACCCTATGGAAAACAACCTGATTTTAGGAGTCCTGAAGCCTAAAGGATCAAGATGTGAAACAAGGGGAAAAGGCAGAAGTAAATCCTTTGTACGTCCAGGCTGTGACATCATTTAATGTCTTTTGGCAGTGTTGAAGTGGCTTTGTTTCCTACATCTTCATGTAGAATGACAAACTTTGATCAGCCTGACCTATAAGCAGGTCATAAACTGCTGAATTGTAAAAATGAATTGTGTGAACAACCAACAAAATAATTTGGCTGCCCATGCATACATGCACATAGACCTTTAAGTGTACAGATATGCTTTTTGACAGATCTTTATGACAATAACAAAGCTAAAGAATATCTAAAAACAAAAATGCCCAATCATTCTATTATCACCCCCCATTACAATTTGGCTGCACAAAAACAGGTGAAACATGCGGCTCTCAAAGCACATTGAATGAAAGGACTATATTTTGTAATTATAATTAAAAATAGCTTGCAAAATGGACTGAGCAGACAAGCTGTGAAGGAGGATTATTTTGGAACAGTGGAGCCCGGTACTGCCTGGACAGGGTTTCCAAATAATATTACCAACATATAGGTTGTGCTTTGTTCTCTTAAAATTGGTGCATACAATTAATTTTGTTTTTGAGAGAAAAAGAACAGTTTTCACATTTTCCTTTGTCTCTTGCGGCATGTTTTTATTGATGTTATAGCTGTCATTCTGGAGTGTTCTGTGGGTTTGACAAAAATAAGCTTCCAACAATTGCAACAACAGCTTTTTCTTACGTCATTTTAGAGGATATTTTGTTTAATACGCTGACCCCATGTACCAAAACCCAGTGAAATCCATGCAGAGAATTTACTTACATAATGTATAAGTGATACAGTACTGGCACACCTCCAGTAGCACAGGTCAAAGTCTCTGCTGCCTTCTATTCACCCTGAGCTCTATTTCATTTTAACTTGTTTTTCTAGTTTTTATGTCTTTACAATTTTGCCATAGATGTAAATCAGTCAGTAATTAAACATTCTTTAAACTCTGAAGGATCCCACCCCCTGGAGGTAATTCTGTGCAGAATCTTCTCTCCCAAGTGTAGTATTCACCCATTACAACAGTTGTCAGATATTTCAGAGGTTCTAGAAGAGTCTCAGCCTGCTTCAAATAAATGGAAGACAGCCTGACAGTTCATACTCTGAAAAATGTGCTTGGATAAGATACCTCCCCCAACCCACCTCCAATGATGTCCGGCTAATGGAGTACCAAGCTGTGCAGTTGTCCTTCTTTTCTTTCATTCTTCCCCACCTATTGTTCTGCTACTTCCTTGACCATTCATTCCAAAGCCCTGATTCAGAAGGGGAAATAACTTCTACCACACTCTCTGGATGTTTTTTTTTTTTTTTCAAAGTGTATTGATTGCATCTCCAGTTCTCTACCACAGCTCACCTCTCCTCTACTTGTGCAGAATGCCCATTAGAATATCTCTGAAACCTTCCATTGTAAGAGTCCTTGGTGACTTTGAGTCTCGGTGACCTTGGAGCCAAAATTACAGTAAAACCACAAATATGCCATGAGGGTGAAATATACTTGGGATGTGATAAATGTCTTCTGCACAGCCTGCTCAAAACATATAACCTGCTAAATTAAATAAATCCATGATAATGGAATAGAAAATGGATGACCCAGTAATGTAATAGTCAGAGTGGAAACAGGAAATAGGGAACCACAACTGCCCCACAACGGACACTGAAATAAATCCTTTTGACAAAATGAAGCAAAATCACTGACTCCCTCCAGACCAAACATATGTTCAAAATATTATTAGCACCTGGCATGCCTAAAACTTTAATCTCATCTTTTGTGCATAAATGCACATCTGCCACAAGACTGTCACCTGATGGTACGACTGGATTATCCAATGATAAACAGATGTGTTCAAAGGTGATGCAACGTGAAATTCTGTTCCTTTTAAATCCTGTAACTGACTGCGCATTTACAGTTTAGTGTGATTCATATTTTCCCTGGCGTTCGGTATTACGGACACTCAGTATGAAAGGTCTGTATATGTAACGTTGATTTTAAGATTATAACAATCGTTTTGTACGCTCCTTCTCAGTTTCTAAAAATACACACCCCAGTTCCAGCCATGCAGAGAACCTGACATGTTTCTTTTCTGTAAAGAACTTTCTGTGGGTAGATGATCATGAGCCATAGTAAAAACACGAAAAGTGAGTTCTGCAGTTTAATATTTTACTCATCTAAAACACAATACTATAACTAACTATATAGAAACCGTTACTAAAATACTATAAAGTAAACAAAAATTCCAGAACTCTTAATTAAAATCTATTTGTATTACAATTTGAGACAGAATTCAGCACCCAGGGAAAAACCAATTACTTCAATAGGACATTGACCTTCAAAAAAATATTTATTTATACACACACACGCACGCACGCAGGCACACACACGTATATGTGTGTATGTGGTATCAAGGGACATCCATTAGGCCTACTTCGTAAATATATTTATTTAATAACGACGTTTAAAAGTAAATGTTCTTTTTTCTACTGGAAAATAAAGCCACTACGGTTTTAAATACGATCCACATTGAATAAGGTATAGAAAAACAAAAGATCCATTAATGCAATTCACGGTTGACTGGAGGTGGCGTTATGTGAATATTGCTGGTCTCCTTCAGACACAAGCCGGGCGGCCGCTCGCTGGACCCGTGTCCCGGGATTCAGCACCTCGGTCAGTTCCGTGTCCGCAGAGGATCCATTCGGCAGGAAGCGGCCATCGATCGCACTGTTTCATTGACAGAGCCGATCGCACTCAGCCTTGCCCCCCTCCCACCCTCTCCATCCTTCCGCCCCTTTTCTCACCCAGTGCCTGAAAAAGGGAGCAAACACGTAAGCAGAACCAGCCTCACTCTGTAGCGTGAGATACCGCGTCTGGGCGGAAGCTGCTCGGCGTTGCTCCTGCCGATTCGCCGCAACCTCTGATTGTTTTTCGTGGGCTCCTTTCGTTGCTCGTCTTTTACCATTTATAATAACCATCGTTGGACTTTTTCGGGCTGCTTTATATTACTTACATTGGAGCGGCGCTCGAATCCAAGTATCCAGATTTAACTGCCTATTTAAAGGTAACCTTTACTCAAAGGCAGGATGTTGGATCCATCATCCAGCGAGGAGGAATCAGATGGGATAGTGGAGGAAGAAAGCAAAGAGGTGATGGCACCCCAGGCCGGATCCCGAATCTCCCCGAGCCGGACCAGCGAGAGCTCGGGCGGGCTACAGCCCGGCGGCCGGGGCAGCGGCGCCCGTCCGTCCAGCCCGAGCCCCTCGGCCGTCAGCGAGCAGGAGAAAGAGGAGGTGGAGAAGCTGCATAGAGAGGAAGAGGAGCGGAAGAAGAAATTGCAGCTCTATGTATTTGTAATGCGCTGCGTCGCTTACCCTTTCAATGCAAAACAGCCGACCGACATGGCCAGACGGCAACAGAAGGTAAGGACAGTGCAAAGGGGAAAACACGCAAATAGTTGCTGAAGTGAGCTAGAGCGGCCCGATTGCTCAGTATTGCATTGATTTTATACAACAACAACAACAACACAGCCCTCACTTAATATCAAATAATACTCCCATATATGTTTAGGTTTGCAATTTGTAATGTTGATGTGCAACCCGGAGGTCCTCAGCCCCAATATAGTACACACATATATAAGCAATTATATATATATATATATATATATATATATATATATATATATATTCATTCATTCATTCATGTGTATAAGATCATGCACAATGTGGGAAAGAGAAGGCGCTGGAGAGATATTTATATGCTGGGCTGCCTCGAGACTGCAGCACCATGCATATTGCATATTTGAGAGGCTGTAAATTGCCTCAATCGAAGGAGCGTAAGATGCATAAAACCGGTGCTTGCCGCTGCAAGATTAGAATATCGCCAGGGGAAGGAAATTCATTTACAGAGACCCCATCCCGAATATTAATACAGGGAAGGGAGAACAAAGTCGAGCCGTGTCATTGCCGGAGACCTTAGCAGAGTCACGTGGTCCGCAGGCTGGACGTCGAGCGCCGTGATGCTCCTGCAGTCACACGGTGCGTTTTTGCGCCGTATTATCCAAGGAAATTAAGTGCAAAGATCTAGTTCATAAAGTATGATTCTGTGAATTAAAAGCACCCCCTTTTCATTCTAGAGGCCGAGATTTTTGTATCCGAGATGCTACTGAATTAAGTGATATAGCGGCATTAATAACTGCGCAAAAACTCGCTCGCCCGTTATAGTTGATTACGCTTTTAATTTGTGCATTATGTCCATTTACTATCAAAAAGAGGTTTAATGTCTGTTAATAATTAATCGATTTGCCTGCGAATAATCTACATGTTTCAGTTGTCATTGTAATGTAAAATGAGGCACATGAGCAATCTTCGGGTCCTTCAAATGTCGTCATTGAACAATCCGTACTTAGTGCTGCGTTATTACCGACCCAGGCCGCGCGGAGCCCTGAGGACTAACATCGCCCTACGTGAATCTGATTGCATTGATCGCCACATTACTTGATCCAAACGGTTATATCAATCATATTGGAATATTCCTTTCGGGAATTAACCCCTTTGCAGAGCATGGCGACAGAGACCCCGAAGTGTCATTGCTGTGTGGCCTACACACATGAACTACTTCTGTCCTTTAATGGTTGCAGTCGCATATATTTGCGTAGCGGTGGAGGAGTGCACCCTGAAATGATGACCTGACAAGGATTTAATTTAATCCTGGAACCATTTACTCGCACATCATTCTTTTCCCCTGTTATTATTATTATTATTATTGTTATTATTAATAATATAAACAATATAGAGATACTTTTAATAAAACTGTTTTAACAATACTATTTTAAAATGCACGAAGACGCAAAATAGAACACGGCGAGCAGGACAATCATCCTGATTATCAAAACGGGAATCAGCGCATTTAATACAGAAAGTGCATGTTCGCTATTTTGTCTATTGTATTTTAATTGTAATTAGTTCATATTAATAGCAGACAAAATGCCACGGCTTGTTGAATCAGAAAATAGATATGTTGTTGTGTCATAAATTCCCTTGTCCCAGATTTCACACCTTTCATGTTTGCCTATCTATCTATCTATCTATCTATCTATCTATCTATCTATCTATCTATCTATCTATCTATCTATCTAATGTCTATCTGACTGTCTGTCTGCTTGTTTGTAACTACGTTTTTTTGAGGAAGGGAAGCAATCTAGCTAAAAATGGTCATATTCATTTAGAAGACGCCATGTTTATCATCTTGAAACGGTGTCGAGGTTTGATTAAACAACAAGTTTGAGGGAGTGTCTGAAAATGCTGTTCTCGCGTGTAGACCTTTGCAGCAGGAAAAAAAAGGGTCAATTATTTGGGACGGTGATGTTGAACAGTGGCCACGGTGGACAGGGCACAGGGATCATAATCGATATAGGATCACATTCCGATGCTGGGTAATGGAGTAAAGTTATAAGGCCCCAGCAGGGAGTGGCACTTCAGCAGCCTTCCTGGTTCGATCCGAGGGAGGAGGGGCTGCTTCCAGAGGCTCGGGCTCCGTAATGGGTGACCTCACTAAAAGCTACTTTGAAACGAGTAGCTGCTATCAACTGGGCAAGCTGAGAAAAGCCTATCACAGACAACACACCGTAAAAGCAATGTGTGCACTATGGCACTGTGCTACTTAGACAGAATCAATAAGAATAGGTGTTTAACTTGTCCTTTTAAGCCTGACCCCCATGTAGATTAAGATTCAGCGATAAAACCGTCTTTACATTGTAGATTATTACGGTGGTCTTCATTCTTTATACTCTAAGTATGTCTGTGATTGAAAGGTAATTCAGGGGCGTGAAATTTCCTAGGCACAGGTATGGGCTCCGTTGTTTTCACAGCTGGGTCTAGACCCCATAGGGTATTTGGTCACTGTGGGTTTGCGCTAACAGAGAAAAGTATGAATGGAGGAAGCCAGTGGAAAACCGACCTGCACAAAAATACAGCCATAGAGAAAACCATGACTGAACCGTATGCTAATTGTCTATTTTTGAGATAGAAAATTCAGAGCTTGTGTGCACATGTTCATTCACAACGTGGCTGATAGTCTGTATTAGAATCCCTAACATTTAAGGCTGCTGGTTTGGCATTTAATTAAAAAACAAAATCTGCTGTTTGTCTGAACAAGAGTTAGGTGACTTAAAGAAAGTATTATGACCAATACTGTCCTGCACAATCGGTTACAACAGATCAGCCAGTGTGTCAAGCTGCAGTTAATTGGCTGTACACAAAAGTGTTGGGACAAAAGTGGCAACAAATGATGTCCCAGAAACTAACATGAAGACACCTGTCATGCCCCGATCGTGCCGACCCTCCCGTGTGCCACGCCCCCTCATCTACCCCGTGTGGAATCCCTGTGTTACCAGCTGTTTCTAGCCTAATTAATTGCTGTTGTGTATTTAGGTCCGCATTAGAGTATGTTTCCCCAGTCTGGTCATTAAGCATCTTGACGTCGCTGTGTGTTCCTGATCGTGTCGACCCCTAATAAATCCCTCGTTTACCTGACTCCACGACTTCCTTCGCCTGTTTCCCTGCTCCGTACATATGACATCACCTGTCTGCTTTACCCATATACCCTTCTGTTTTCATATTTATATATTTTAATTATATTTTATTTATAAATTGTCTTCATTTTATCAAAGGCCTTAATGGGAATTCATTTTGTTTTTATTTTCAGTTATATTTCAGTTGATTGAATGCATTTGCCCATGGCCTGTTAAATGAGTTGTGGGAACAGGCTGCACACAAACATGCAAAAATGGCCAGCGGCTTTTGTTCATCTTCCATTAAATAAAATTTCACGATATTCATCGAGTTATCACCAGCATACACACCGAAACATAGTGCATGAGGTAAAACACACACACACACACACACACACACACACACACACACACACACACACACACACACAATAACACCTGTGACCTGTGCATCAGGTTTGTGTGTAATAGCCAGGTGTGTATTACACTGACACTTTTTTCAGAGGAGGTGATGCATTCGCTCAGCACAGCAGAACATGAAGCATTCCGTCCAATTCAATCAAGCATTTGGCTAAAGGAGAGTGGCTAATACCTTGATGTTCTCTGCTGGCTCTCATTGCTCAGTGCACTTTGTACTCAGATATCTCTGTGTGCAAAAAGAGCGTGACTTATGGCAGCTGATGGAATGGCCTGTCACATTACTTCCAAGAGCTCCTCTTTAATTTTGGCCTTAGTTGCTGAGTTTACTGAGTATAACATGCCTTTGATGGGACGGTTCCATCTCAAACTCATGAGCTCATACACCTAAAATCTTAATTAACAGTGGGATCTTTATCGATGGGGGGGGGATGCACTTAAATGTTGCAACTACTGTAGAATAGCACCAGATGTCAAAAGCAGAGATAAACCCAAAGGTATTTTGAAATGAATTCTGTAAATTGAATATTTCATATAAGTAAATGTCCGTTCGTAATGCAGGAGCAACAGTGCAATCGTCGTTTCCGCATGAGGTGTTAAAAGTCCTGGACCAAATTCAGCAGAGACAGCTTCTCCTTTTGTTGCTGTTCCTTGCTGGCCATAGGCAGGGTGAAGAATCATGGATGGGCTCCAGCTTCCCACAGTCTTTTTGCTCACTTGCTCTGCGTTTTTCTGAGCTTATTATCGGCTCCTTGCCAGAGTTCTTCAGGTTTCTTCTTCATAAATCACCTCAGCCCCCACACATGCAAGTTAAGTACTCAGTGGTCCACTGTTTATAAGGATTTACATTCCTCAGTGTAGTTAATACACAATAAAGTATATAGACATTGTTATTAATCATTCAACCATCTATTCTGCCCCCTATGGGGAAGTATGGGGAATGAGGCAGGCGAATGTAATGGGATCTCTGGGTGAGCACACACACACACACACACACACACACACACACACACACACATGTAGGGTAAACATATCCTTATGGGGACTGCTCATTCATTTCAATGGGAAAAATGCTAACGCTAACTATGACAACCTTAACCCCTACCCTGCCCTAACCATAACCATAAGTAACCTAACAAAATACAAGAGTTTTTGCAAGGGGAAAAAAACAGATATTTATCACCTTATGGGGACATTATGTCCCCATAAGGATAGGCAAACCCGCTCACACACGCACACAGACATACACACTTGTATTAATATCTTTGTGGGGTTGTTGATATAGTACCAAATGTCCCCACAGTGTGATAAAAACCTGTTAGTTTGACGTCGTGGGCATGAAGAAGCTCAGTTTTAAAAAATCTTTGACTGCAATAAAAAATAAAAATATCAAAAGTTTGGTATTTTGTTTGGTTACTTATGGGCAAGGTTATGGCTGGTTAGGGGTTAAGATCATCATGTTTTTTTCCATAGAAATGAATGGAGAATCTTCAC